ATCCAGCATTCTGAGATGGTGTTATCCTTTTATTGACGAATCGCCAGCCGCGGCCTTATGTTGTCATTTTCATGCCTGCTGCCTTTACTTCCGATGACGTTAAATGGTTCCCGTTTAAATTGGATCGATCTGGATATATCCAGTGGATACACACTGGCGTCACGATCAAGTGACTCAGTCATTCCGGGTGTTAACTGTGCTTGAATGTTGAATGTTGAATCAAGAATCGACATCACAGACCTCGGGACACTCCAATACGCTCACCATCAACATCGGCAGCAAGCAAAGAGATATGATTCCAATGTTACCAGTAACTGTGTGACTGTATATACGTCTCGCCTTTCCCTTGAGCGTTTAGGTCGGCCAGATCCCATGGTAACTCCTCGCATCGCCATTTTCCTTAGACAGAAATGATCTATTTGTGCCTCCGCACTGTTCACTTACTCCCAAAGCGCCCTTACAACATCTAGCTTGTCATACACCAGTGGTGCATAACCGGCCAGTATATCCGCCTGCTCATTTCCTAACACACTGGCTTTGCCTGGACAAAATATCAAAAAGAGGCTAACTAGTCGGGACCTCTAAAGTAATGCATGCCACTCTGCAAGAAGCACGCGTGTCTCATGCTTTTTTGACATGCTCTTTGCTTAAATTAAGCCATCTTTTTCAGGCATTTTGGCATACAAAGGGAACATACATTTGTATAGACACTTCTTTTTTTTTTTTTTTTAATCCATATCGACAACCCAGAAAAAAAGGCACTGCCCATTCCTGCTCCGTCCTCGGATGAAGCAGCCACTGAAATGGCGCCTTGGTAACATGCCTAGTAGGAGCTCGTATCTTCTCTCTTTGCCCTTCTTGTCCTAGTCCCCCCCCCCCCCCCCGACCCATTTCCAACAAAGGTTCAAAATCTCTCACTCCTTTGTCTCAACGTTTTTGTGACGCAATATAATAAGTACGTCAGTCCTGTCATAGTTCTTCCCCCATTACTGCAGACACGGCTAGTCTGTCGGCTCTTTCATTTCCTCTCACTCCTGCATATTCGTGTATGTACAGCTAGGATGGTTTCGTGAGGAGGGAGGGGGGAACTTCTGGATGCTAACAGCCCATTCTAGTTTGCGTTTGCCAGTTTGTATGTTTATGAGGACCGACAAGCACGTCATAGATAATGTGATCAACATCATTTAGTCCGACTGTACTTCCCAGGATATTACCTTATTGTCATTTATGCTTGGTTTATATGAATTTAAGTTTAAAAACAATCTAAGCGAATTTGAAATTAAGACTGTTGGTTAGTTATAATATATATTCTATTTGTAGACATTGTTGATGAGTAAATATACAGCTTTCTAGACAATACTGAGGTTACTGGAACTTACCACGATACCTGTCATGCTTGATGATCTTGTCCACACTAAAGACTTCTTCATACGCATCCCTATAATACAAGCGATGGTCACCAACAATAATTCTGAACTCAGCTGCATTCAGTTGGCTGAAAGGTATAAACTATCACTGAAAATCACACACAATTTTAAATAAATTTAGTTCTTCTTAAATTCCATTCTAATATGGCTTTGGTGGTCATGTCTATTCACAACCTTCTGCTTCGTGTACTTTCAATCAACTCTGACACACATGATCCTCCATGCCATGATGGTACAGTGCCCAGGACCTGTTTTTTCGGTCTCCTTCTGCTTTTCCTCTTTTGCAGCTTTTCCACTGTCGCAATATTCTCCAGTTTTTTTTTCTTATCAGATACACGACCAAAGAATGTAGATTGTATCTTTCTGATGTGTATAATCATTTCTCTTCATGAGTTAGTTTCTTTCACGACGTCTTCCTGTTTGTATCTGTCAAGTGCGTTCTATAAAACCACATCTCCGACACTTCCAAAATAGTTATAACTAATTTAAAAACTGTCCCTGATTCACTTGCATACCTCAAGATAGGATTTATATAGCTTTTAAGAATCCTCTTACTCGTCTCAATTGACAAATAACATTGCATTCAATATTTCTTATTTTTTTTAAAATGCTGCCCTTGCTTGAGCTAATCGACATTTAATTTCCCTAATATATCTTCCATCTGATGTACCCAAGTAATTACACATATCAACTTGCTTGAGGTTTTGTCCCATTGAATTGATTTTAAATTTTGCAGGGTCAGTTTTCTTTATAAATACCATTACTTCTGTTTTTCTGCTGTTTAAACTAAAACTCTTGTTTTCACTCTCCGTTACATTTATATCCATCATTTCGTGAAGTTGTGTTTCATTTTCAGCAATTAAAACTATATCTGTAGCAAATGGCAGTTTTTTCACAATATGTCCAGCAACCGATATTCCTGATACACTTTGGTGTCAATTGTTATGGCTGCTTTTTGTGTTACAGGATATGATCTTTGTTATTCTCAGATCTTTACCGTCAGCACATTAGGGTTTAAAAAAAATTCAAATAATTTCAGTTTTCCTAATGTGTGCTGATAATCAAATAGTAAAAATTAACCAGGAACAATTCACAGTAATTACAGTACCACATACCATTGTCTTTACAAAGAGCTTCGGTGAACAAAGTGACACAACAGCAAAACGTGCCAGACAGAGAACATTGATAAAAATAAGCGTTCTGGTGAATAGTCTCGTTGCGGCAGAGCTTTGTAGTAAGATCTGCTAACAATGTGTTACAATTTGGTGTCAACATGGTGAAATGGCATGCGACTACCGACCCGACATGCCCACTGTGCAGAGCTAAGCAGTTGCTTAAGGAAATATTGTTCGCGTTCAGAAAAGCCTTAGGTCAGGGTAGATATATTTGTCGCCGCAATAAAGTCCTAAAAGAGTTAGCGGATATTGTGGACCAAGACAGGATGAGGGCTAACACGAGGGCCAGTCCTACCGTCACCCCTATGCGCTTTCACATGGCTGAGAGATTTCTAAAGGTAATTTAAACAAGGTCGCATAAGCTCCACAACATGACTATGCAAGGGACTGATTACTGGCTAACGACCTGCCTGGCTTTGAAAAGTACCTAGAGTCAATCCGAATGACTGGCCTGAGACCCGACATAGTTCTACACTGTATGGAAAAAACGATAGTTCATCATGATTGAGATGATTGTGCCGTACGAGTCGCGGGTACAAGCACGAAAAGTATTGTGAGCTTTCGGTCAATCTGAGGAGAAACGAAGTATACGCAGAAATAAATCTTCGCTATCGAGCTCTTATCCCAACTTCCATGTACAATATGCTAAAGCAGCTGGGATTTGGGAGGCACTGAGCATAAACGGTCACAAAAACAACTGGGCGAGGCTGCTAAAAGAGCTTCGAACTGGCTGAACACAACGGAACGTTCTGGGGATAGCCTCGGTAGACTGGTCCATGTCTCTAGAGGAAAAGAGCTTCTTATCCGTTAAAACCAAAGTGTCCAAGAAATGTCTGTTAGTGTCTATCTGCCAAGTGCTAAAGTATAACATCAGTCCAATGATCTAACCATAACCTTGACACTCTGAAGGTAGTCAGCTCATTTAATTTGCTACCGCAGCGACAATATAACAACAAATCTCACAGCACCAGATGCAGATTAACCACATTGTCTTGTCCTCTGTCGTGTCCGATAAACTGCAGCACGTGAAGATCGAGGCCTGGGTTCATGACCATTGTCGGGATCACCTTCCGAGATTGTCTAGGAAAGATATGGGCCAAAACAATCGTCAACAAAGGATCTTTCTACTAATGAAGGTGGACCCCTGCTGCGCATGTTCCCCTGTGGAGTTCTTATTAATATAGCATTCAGTCATGAAATATTTGACCTTGTAGGCAAGCTAACTTTTCCCCATATAATACCTACAAACATCTTTATCGAAAAAAAAAAAAAAAAATAACTCCCTTTGGCAATTTAAGATTGTGCATTTAACAATCACTTAATTAAAAATCGGGGACGCGGCTAGACTTTCAACTGTCGATCTGGAGTCTCGAGTTCAAATCTCTCGCAAAAATATTTGTTTGCAAAATTGCTCTTGGCTCCCAGGTGGAAGCAAGCTAAAACCGGTACCAGGTAATGTCCTCGGAAGTAAAGGCGGCAAACGTGATGCTGTCCACATCACGCGCTATCGGCTAATTGGTCTTTAAAGGTGTGAGTCCGCATGATTTTTCTAAAGCCCCAGTGGTGTAAAAAGCGGTTCATTATTTTTTTTTTTTAAACAAAAGGGAGGTTGGGTATTGGGAAGGCCAGGGAGGGGGGGGGGGTAAAAGGAGGGGTAGGGTAGGATATTAGGTGTGGGGGAGGTACTGGAGGGAAAGGGGTAGTTGGTTTTCTGTATCATTCTTTCCTTTTCAAAATATGTGAAGAAAACCAAGATCTAGGAATAATCTACATCCTCAATGATGAATTAAAGACAGGTTCAAGTAGTCGAGGTTAACCTCTGCTACGATATAAAGATGTGTGCAAGCTGGACATGAATGATACAGGTACTGAGGTGGACTCGTGGGAGCAAAAGACATAGGCCGTGTTATGTGAAGGGAGCACATCAGGACAAAAATAAGAACAAAGAAAAAAATTATTGCAGAAAGGATGAGAGCTGAGAGTCTGAGAAGAAACAGATAAACACAAACGTTGACAACAACGGTTCTGAAATCCCATGGTTTAATCGGGGAAGACTTTTCTTACCGCCGGCGGGTTTTGCTAGTCACACTCGCCACCAACATTGGCTTCGAGTCCTATGCCTCCTCCGCATGGCTCCACCCAGCCTGAAATGGGTACCAGAATGTATGTCCTGGAGAAGTAAAGACTGCTGGCGTAATTATAATCACGCAACCTACATAGTACCGATTGATCTGTAAAAAATATTGATGCTCCTCCCATTTGCCCGATGCACCCAAAAGCGGGACAAGGGATAGGTACTTTACCTTTACTCCTCATATATAACACATTGATCTAGAAAAACGGACAGGTGCTAATCATCGTACATCACTCAAATAAACTAATATTATTTCATACCTACTGGAAACAATGTGCAGCGCTGATTAACCAAAATTCACTTATAACGGCACCTCCGCATATTAGCTGATTCCCATATATAATTGCAACCATCCAAGGGATAGATCCGTAAGTGACGTAAGTACCACCGAGTATTTTGTCCAGGTGTGACACATGGTGAATGTTGTCATCTAATATGTCTTCATAGTTTTTATTTTCACGCCTCACGTTCGTTGTAAAGACTCGAGTGCGGCCACACACAGGTTCTTCTGTGTATGGAAAATGTGGGGAAAAAAAGGTGTATATCAGGAGTGTAATTAGTTTGGAGAATTGCATTAATTAAAAAGGGGGATTGTAAACAATTATTGTTACTATACCCGGTCTCCGCAAAAGTAGACTTATATCCTCTGGGGATCCGGGAATTATAAGAGTTTTTACATCTGCAGAGGCAGTCGCCATAGCGATGGCTGCTAAACGCCCGCCTGTAGATCGGAAGGTCGGGTGTTCGCGTTCTGACGGAGCCGGATTTTCAAAAATCACTTTGAATCCTAGGTCGAAACAGCCTTGAGTGGGTACCAGGTGCAGTTCTGGGAAGTAAAGACTGCCGACGTGATGCTTACCACATCGCCCACCAAGTGCTGATTGGTCTATGAAAATATAGGTCTTGCCCTATACTCCCAATACGCCTAAAGGCGTTGGAAAGGGTTCTTTACCTTTTTTTGTTTCACATCTGCAGCCAATGTCCTGGCATATAGTCAAGGATAGGAAGAGAGTCTCTAGGGAGCTTCAAGTGGTTGTGGATAACCTTAATGATTGGTCTAAAGACACATGATCTTTAACACATCCAAACAAATCATCATCAGTGTGGTGTTCTTTGGGCAACATAATTATCTAAGCAGATGTCCCTAAGATCAGAGTAAAGGTCGGAGTAGCTAAAGCGGAAAACACTAAAATACATAGAAATAACGTTCGAAAAGAGACCAGTCATTCAATGCTCACATCAATGCCGTCATCTTCCGGGGTTCACGATGGAGATACCAGTTGTGTGTATAAGATATAATCTGGCTATGTCAGTCAGTGTTGACAGCTGAGTGTTATCTTACAGTTTCACAGAATACAGTACATATCTTGCAGATTGAATGGGATACAGCGAAGGGTAACATGTTTAAAAAGGGCAGATCAATAGTGGACTAGGCTAAACAATCATTAGCGTCTGTAACCTTAAAGAGATTCGAGGAGAGGAACGGGCGAAAGAATATCGAGGCCGTGAGGTGGTAATCACCTTGCTAATGGAATGAAAAGAATGGGCTGCGGGTCGTCTAAACATAAAGGTCCAACTGCTGTTAACGGACAACTCTAAGGTAGGAGATATAAGCATACACACCAAGGCGTCAGCTGAGACAGAGCCAGAAAGGGTGAAGGGGGCTTCATTGCACAATTACGTAGGAGAAGAGGGCTGATGAGAGTTTGTAGGTACCAACTCCAACAGTCTGTCAATGGAATTGCAATATATAATTAATCAGACCTCCTTTGATGTCATATTCCGATTCTCGCTGGGGGTTGAAATCACACCATTCTAGTAGATTATTGACGGGTCTAGATTCCACCACGTAAATATTAATGATGGTTTCAGCAAGAGAGGTTAGGGGCCATTAAACATTGTTTTGCGCATGATTTTTTTCCATTAAAATCCCTAGCCCCTTTTTATAGGTTAAAGCGGTATAGATGTCAGGGTTCGCCCTGCTATGGGACAGTTCAGGATGATGATGATGAATCTCGTCATCGTACCCTGCGACCCTTAGTGACACTCAGTACGTGCATACACACGTAAAAACGAGCATGAGCGAAGCGTAGCTTGGTCATTGACCAGCGGACCGCAAGGGTGTGAAGAGTAGACTGCACATTTTGGACCGGACGCTGAACGCTTGCTTGGGGGACTGCTAGGAGACTGGACGTGGGACGAGAGTGGAGATTTTACTGACCGTTTGTTTTTGACTTGAAGATAGGTACCAGTGTAGTGATTAGCTTAACGTGTTCTGTTCATAGTTTCTTGTAAAGTAGTAGTTGTAACTAGAAGCCAGACCATGCTTTGCTGGTGGCGTTAACACTGTCGACGCACTTAGGCCTACACATTGGCGTATGCCATAACGTCTTTGGCATCGACATATAGCGGGTAGAGCTGGCACTGTACGGGAGAGTGGTAGCGGCTCAGAGCTTATTTCATGAACGTGTAAAGGCGCCTCTAAGCGATTTTAAAGTTAGACCCGGCCTGGGTTTTGAATAAGGAGCGCTACTCCTCCTGAGGTGTACCACCACTTCGTTTGCATCTTTGGTAATAAAGATTGTGTGTGTGTTGCAACAAGTGTTTGGCTTGAGTGTGTTTGTACGGTGTTTTCCTGTCAGTAGCCTATAGCAGAGCCAATGGAATCGAGCCCTAGACAGTAAGGTTTCTGACAATAGTTATACTTCTTTGGTTCACTTATAAACCCAGTTAGAGACTAGTTGGCAGCAATTTTGTCTGTTAAACTCAGGATAATACTAACATACTCACTATCCACGTCAGATCCTCTCTTAAATAGGTTTTTTCCTCGTGTATAGCTGTCTGATGTTTTCACAGATGTCTCTGCGTTCCTTTCCTGAAATAAGAATTAGAAACCTTATTACGGTTAGTAACCTGTATCATATCACACAACTTGTCATATGGTAATTATTTACCCAAACCTTGTATAATATCTCTGACATAGTTTTTTTTTTGAGCTGGTGATACATTTATATGTAGTCTACTACCTGCAAAAATGTCGGTGGGATGCAATTCTTCGTTTTTTTTTTTTTTCACAAGCCCTACCCTGGCTCTTGCCAGGGGCCGTAATATAGCGCGGCCATAAATATGGTCAAATGGCTGAACACAGTTTCCGGGACCGCTCCACGGGTGATCCTCATCCGCTTGTGGCATTTTTGCCATCAGGTGTTTATCGCTTGTGTGATGTCCTGGTGGGGTAAAATGTACTACTACTACTACTTCTTCTTCTACTACTACTACTACTACTACTACTACTACTACTACTACTACTACTACTACTACTACTACTACTACTACTACTACTACTACTACTACTACTACTACTACTACTACTACTACTACTACTGCTACTGCTGCTACTACTACATTCATGTAGCAAATGTTTTATATGAGAAGTCTTTAACATACAGATTCAGAAACATTCAATTATTATGTCCAAATTCTCTCTTTTACATATCTTTAAATTTGTATTAGTTCTAGTAATCATTAATTAAGTCCAGCCCCTATCTTGTCATTCCTCTATGGGATGCCATTTTTCGTAATTTGAAGCCGTCCTTTGGCTCTTGCCAAAGTTGAGATTTTTCCATTGTCCAAGTCGGACGTGGTTTTTCAGTGGGTTAGCGAAAACATTGTTTTGGCTGTTTCTCTTTATGAGGATATTTTATATAGAGACGTTTTCTCTTCTCGAGGTTTTTGAATTGCCTCTGTTTACGGGAGACAGTGTGATGTCTATTTAGTTTCTATTGGCAGGAGTCCATTGTAATCGTTAATATCGTACTAGTAGATAATATTATCGTACCTTTATTAATCATCATCATCTTGTGACGTGTAATGTTAATGACATTAAAGTTTATGTGGCCTTTCACAAGTTGTTATTGTTAACTCGTCAAGATAGTAACAACTGTATTAGCTGGTGCTGTGCCAAGTGTGCCAGTTATTATAGTATGCAGGACTGTAGCACATCCATCGAGGATAGATCCAGCGGAATATTAGAGTAGACACCCTAGCCCTACATACTTGGTTATTTACAGATACTAAGGAGTATCAGTGCGTAAACATACATATTATATGGACTAACATAAATAAGTGCTCTGTTCACCCATAGTCTACACAGTGGGTAATCCAGAGTGTACAACACCTGGGTCATGACTGCAGGCCTCTATCTCCCCCCGCTATACATATAAGGTCTAGCACTGTATACACACTACGCCTACAGAAGTGGGAACGTGCCCTTTTTACTTGTTTCTACTTTATAACGGCGTCTGCTTAGTAGTTGCGAACGCGCTGTGTGATACTAGGGTATCTGGTTCGATCCCAGCTGCGGACGGTTTGTCTTGCGGTGGTTTCGATAGTGGTACAAAGCGCTGACCGTTTAGAAAGCAATGGCAAACGAATGAACGTTAAATGTATCTATAAAAACAACAACAGCTAACAAATGATTGGTTGGTTCTGCAACGCCCTGTAAAGGACATGCGACTAACTGTATAACACTGACACGTACCGTAAACGCTAAAAAACACTTACCATCAAGATGTTACTGTAACAGCCGATTAAGGACATCGACAACATGTATATTAGCCCAGAGAACAGCCACATAATGCTTATAGCGAACTTCAGTTTCATAATACAGGGGACAGAAAGAAAATGGTTCTGCCTTGCGATGTTGGCAATAAGCTGTGTTGACAACAGCAGCGACGCTGTAATAGTTGAATTACTATAAGCAGTAGGCATTTGATGAAAATCTACACAGGCAATTGTGCTATTGATTTCTGACTGTCAGTACTAAATGATAGATGTTCGAATGGTTTATTGCTGTAGTGTTATTTCCCACAACGATAAATAACGCGAACGCCTTCAAAGCTGAAATTACATTCTCAAACGTTGTGTACAATCTAGGAAACATTATCTAATATATGTCTGTGAGATCATACGCAGACATCGATTTTTTTGAGCAGGGATACCTGAACCTTGGCTAAGGCCACATGAGTCTCCCTCCTCACCCATCCCCTTCGCCATATTTTTTTGTTGAAGGAGGGGAGGCGCCATCCCATCCCAGATACTTTGTGAGGCGACAAAAGTAAAGAACCCTTTTCCCCGCTTTCAGGCTCTTTAGGGCTGGACCTATGATTAGTAGACCAAACGGTTCCTAGTGGGTTATTTGATCAGTACCACGCTGGCCGCTATAGTCCCTAGGACTGTGCTTCGTACCCCCCCCCCCCCCCCGCCCTCCCCACCAAGGCTTGGTCTAACTCAGAGCCATGGTAATTTTTGAAACAAGTCTAGCCCCTATCAGGACCCGAACCCACGACCTTCAGATCCACAGGCGAGAGTCTAGCCGCTAGACCAAGTCCTCTTCCCTTTGTAAGGGAGATTCAGAGACATTGAAATGTACTTTATGAGAAGGGCCCGTTTCAGAGATCGCTTCCTATCCTGACGCCGGGAGGCATTGCAGAAGTAGACAGAGAAAGAAAAATAATGGTAGAATCAACCATATAAAATAATTAAATTTTTACCTACCCATTGCTTGTGTGGTCGAATTTTAGCTCTACTCCTACTGTCTATACATGGGTGATTAAGGAAAAAAATGTGGTCAACAGAGCAGGTTGTTTGTTAGTGATGATTTGGAAGAAGTTTTGCAGCACATAAGGCTGGCAAAATACAAAAGAGAAGGATGTAGGTAAATATGGCTACCATTGATTATGAGAAGAATCATCTTAGAAACAGCAATTCTTTCATATTTAGTATGAAATCAAATAAAAAACAAATTTCAGCATGGACTGCTCTGTGGTAAAATTTTGTAAAGAATTTAACAGTCACCTCTTGAGAACACGGTGTTCGCAAGGAGTATAACCCATACTGGCTGAGCGTTTTTGTGTTCGCGAATTTTTCTGCAGCTATTTCCCCTGCCTGAAACGGTCCGACATGTTCAGTGAAGTTAGTTGTCGTTTAGCATAAGGTTAGTTGTGTATCCTTTACAGGACGTTGCAGAACCAACCTCAGTAGCCTATGGCTGTTGTGTGGTTTCTCTAGGCAAATAAACGTCCAGTAGTTTGCCATTGCTTTCTGGTCGGTCGGCCCCCTGATACCACTGTCGGAACCAATGCAAGGCGCATGGCCTGCAGCTGGGATCGAACCTGGCACCCCGGCATTACGAAGCGTTCGCATCGACTTAGCCACAGAGCCGACTCATTTAGCATAACGCTTAACATTTCTATTTTCAAACAGACGCTAGTGGACACACTATAGCAGCCGCTGGTCAGTCTATACGTTCCTGGTTCCTGTGATATGGAAATAACACAATATGCCTCTCACTGTCTCACTTGAAAACTCGTGAAACTGTGTCAGTCCCAGGAAATTATAATGGCTTGCACAAGGCAGTCGTGGATGTGACAACACTAACAGTGGTTTTTTTCATCAAACACACACACACACACACACACACACACACGCGCGCGCGCGCGCGCGCGCAATCAGTGATATAGTCGTAGCTTCAACAGTCACTTTATTCATGTATGAACATCTAGTCTCTTTAAAACTGTTGTGATTTTAATGCTCGTTAACTGTCAAAGACAGCTCCTGTACAACAACCTGGGTGGAGGAGGGGGGGGGGATTAAAATTTGGTAGCACAGTGTGCCCCCCCCCCCCCTCAAGAAAAAAAAATTACTGCAAGCGTAAGCTAAAGGGCTGAAGGAAACAGATGAGCACTAACAGATGCATAGAGAAATTTAAAGTAGACACTCTGGAACTGTTGAATATGAAATAAGATTGGTTTGAAAATCTTACAACAACTGGAAATTCTGACATAAAAGCGAAACAGACCAGTAGAAGACAGAGTGATAGCATGTCTTGATGAAAAGGCGTAAGTGAAAAATAAAATATGATTTGAGATTAACCATTGTGTAACAACTAATCACAATCACATGAATGTATCGCTATGGCACATGCTAATGAGTTGATCATCGGTCACAACAAGATGGAATGTCATTGTAAGGAGGTAGCAGGATCGAGTCCTCACGAAACTCCACTGCATTTATCAGATTGAAATAGTCACATGTCTATTTTGACAATCGATATTTGTCAACGTATTTTTAGCACATGAACGCACATACAAAATGTGTGTACGTGTTGACATATATCGCTATAAACACGCTGATCTTTTTTATTAACTACACACCAATCGAAACCCTAGTCCAGAGGTTTATTACCAGTTATTAAAACGCATTTTGTTGTGGGTACGAAAGTATATGTAAGAACTTTAAATATGGCGTACGCTGTCCGGATCTTGCTTCTGGACTACAACCACTGGTGTAGTCGTAAACTAAATAGTGCCTGGTAGCTTTAATTACTGTTTTACTACGATATCCCATGTTCACTGGTCAACACTTGGTTAAGAATATTGAAAGCACAATATGATTAATGTCACAGTAAAGGTAAAGGTAAGGTTAGGAGATGTGAACCAGACTAATGGCACACGGTTTTAAATCATAAGTGCAACTCCGTAGCTACGGCGACGTTCCTTTAATTATCACAGAGTTTCGACTCTGGTACCCATTTCATAGAGGCTGGGTGAACCGCCGTCCGGTTTTGAATACCATCCGTTGGCTTCAGCGAGTCGCTGCTGGATTTGAAAGCGAGTCTCCTACCGACTGCGCTAACGCTGCCCATACAAATACAAATACAAAACAAACGCTGATCAGTAAAAATTCTGCAAATGTAATTATCATCATGTAGCAGGTCATTTGCAGAACGTCGCTCTCATCACAGTCTGCCTGAAAGAAACTCGGTCTCTCGCCAGTTCTCCCGCCTCATTCACTTTCATACTCAAGGAGTCACTT